TGTGGACAATATGTTGGTGAAGAGTATGGCCGCGACAAACCATGTGACACACCTCTAGGAGAGCTTTGATGTATTAACAGCATGCAAGATGAAGCTGAATCCTGAAAAAGTGCGCATTTGACGTTAGTTCAGAAAATTCTTAGACTTCATGGTCAACAAAAAGGGCATTGACGTTAATCCAGACAAGATCAGAGCTATCTTGGGGATGAAGTCCCTAGCCTCTATAAAGGAGGTCCAGCGCCTTAATGGGAGGATAGCATCTCTCAACAGGTTTGTCTCAAAGTCAGCAGACAAATGCTTAACTTTCTTCAAAATCCTTCGCAAATCTTTCCGGTGGAGACCAGATGTAGACGAGGCATTCTAGAAGGTAAAGGCCTACCTTGTCACACCCCCTTACTCTCCTATGCTGTATCGAGAGAGAACCTATACCTCTACCTCTCCTCTTCATCATCTGCCGTGAGCTCTATCCTTGTTAGGGAGGATGAAGGTATCTAGAAACCTGTATACTATGTGAGTAGGGCATACCGAGGGGCAGATGTAAGATACTCAGAGCTTGAAAAGTTGGCTCTCGCCCTTGTCACCATTGTCAAGTGTCTATGCCACTACTTTTAGAGTCATACCATCATAGTTATTACAGATCAGCCACTTAAGAGAATATTGGGAAAGCCTGACGTGTCCGGTCGAATTCTCAAATGGGGCATCGAGGTGAGTGAGTTCGATGTTCAGTACCAGCCAAGGACAACCATAAAAGTGCAAACAGTTGCAGACTTCGTGGCTGAGTCTACAACATCACTAGAATCCCATCACGAAGTATCATGCGCCCCATCACTCAGTTGCTTAGTTCATCATTTCTTCACTCACCATGATGCAAGCCCAGACACTAACATCTTGGAGACGGCCCCTCAAGCCTCCGGAGACCTCACTTTGAGGCCAGAGGCGCCTAGTTCTCTTCCTCCTACTCCACCGGAACCCTCCGTGACCCTCGTCCACTGCATCATGTTGGAGACTATACATAGATGGGTCCTCCACTGGCAAGGGCAGTGGTGCAGGACTAGTGTTGATCATCCTCAATGACACTCCACTTAGGTACGCTGTCTCCCTCCACTTTGCAACATTGAACAACTAAGCCAAATATGAGGCCCTCATATCAGGCTTGAAGCTCGCATTAGAGGTGGAGGCCTTCTACCTGATAGCCCATAGTGACTCATAGTTGACAGTCAATCAGGTGAAGGGAAACTTTAAAGTAAAGGAAGAAAGAATGCAAGAATACATGTAAGTGGTCTAGGCTTTGTTAAAAAGGTTTACCTACTTCCAAATCCACCATGTGCCCCGAGAGGAGAACTTCATGGCAGATGCCCTTGCCAAGTTTGCATCTACCAACATACTCATGGGCCTAGCACTTATAGGCCACCAGTTTGAGCCAAGTGTTTTCGAGGTAGCGGAAGACAATGTCAATTGCACATCCTCTGAAGCCAATTGGATGACACCCATCCAAGCCTACCTAGAAGAGGGCACATTCTCGGATAACCCAGTGGAAGCCAAAAAGTTGAAAAAGAGAGCGTCCAAGTATGTCGTCTTACGTAACACACTCTATTCACTACCGCTTCTCTATTGCCTTACCCTTGAGAATCCGATTATGCCATGAGGAAAATCCACTAGGGGATACGTGGAAATCACTTGGGAGGTGTGCACTGGCCCATAAAGTAGTAAGGCAAGGCTATTATTAGCCTAGCCTGATCAAAAACGCCCGAGAGTTCGTTAGGAAGTGCGATAAGTGTCAACGCTTCACAACTATGCCCGGACAACCACTTTAAGAGCTCACTACCATTCAGAGCCTGTGGCTTTTCTCCAAGCGGGGGATCGACATCCTAGGTCCCCTACCCATGAATCAGAGCTAGTGTAAGTTTGTAGTGATAGTCATTGACTACTTTACTAAATAGGCAAAAGTCAAAGTCTTGGCAAGAATAACAGACCAGAAGGTGAAAGACTTCATCTGGAGGAGCATAGTCTGCCACTTCGAGATACCCCATGCAATTGTAAGTGATAACGCCAAACAATTTGACAACAAACTTCTCAACAGTTTCTGCGCTGACCTATAGATCAAACATCCCCACTCCAACCCAGCCCATCCACAAGTGAACAGACAGGCGGAGGTTACCATCAAGGCCATCCCCCACAACCTGAAACTAGACTGGAAAGCGCAAAGGGGAGATGGGTGGACAAACTCCCAAGAGTGCTATGGGCTTACCGAACAAGGCCGAGAAGCTCCACGGGTGAGTCACCTTTTTCCTTACCTTATGGGATAGAGTCGGTTACACTAGTCAAGGTTGGGGTACACTCTTTTAGGGTCCACCACCATAACCCTACCATTAATGAAGAAGGCTTCTACATCAACCTGGCCTTGGTAGAGGAGGAAAAAGAGATAGCCATGCTCAGGAATGCAGAGTACATGCGTCGCATGACAAAGTACTACAACTCGAAGGTGAAACCTCGCTCTTTCTTGCCTAAAGGCCTAGTCCTAAAAAAGGTCATCCTGTCTACCAAGGACTCTCAAGAAGGGAAGTTAGGACCCAACTAGGAAGGACCTTACACGGTCATAAAAGTTATAAGATCGGATAGTTACAGAATTCAAAGCTTTGAGGGGAAAGCCTTGACCTATCCATGGAATGCAGAGTACCTGAAGAAATATTACCAATAGTTGGGGGCAAGATAGTGAGTGCACAAGTCAATAGTTACCATTTAAGTTATCTCTTGTTGTTTTAGTCAACTTTCATTGTTATCCACTTCAGATCATGAAATAAAATTTTGCAAGACTTTGTCTTCTTCTAAAGTTGTATTTCATTCCATAGAAGTTCATAAAATATTTAGAAAAGATAGAACATGGTCTGCCAACAAAAACAAAAATATAAAGATACCATACCCCTGACGTCACTCACTACTCCTTAATCTGCTCGCATCATCGCTCGCCTCCTCGTCATCAGTCCCTGGATCCTTATATGGGATGAAGCCAAAAAAGTCATAGGTAGAAAAAATTGCTGAGACCTTACCCTTAAGCTCCTCATAACCATCAATAAAGGCGTCTGTCATGGCCTTCTCAACAGCATCCCTCTTCTTCTCCATCTCAACGAAGTAAGCCTTTGCCCTAGTGGCTCTCTCAAGAGCCACTCAAAGGTCACCCTTTGCTCCAGGGACCCTCTAATGGGACGCTCATAACTCTATCTCTGCTTTCGCACAGGTAGCTTCTCTGTCTTCCTCTTGCTGGTCGGCACTCTCACGGGACGCTAGAAGCTCGGTCTCAAGTGTGGCAGCTATTTTGTGTGCTAGCCTTGAATGCACCTTGACAGCCTCTCAAGCTCCAACTACTCCTCAACAGTTCTTCGTGCCTGCCTCTCCGCCGCCTGACTGCTGAATGCCTCTCTAAGCTTCATCGTGCTTTAGAACAAGCAAGGAAAAGTAGCAACCACCTACAAATAAGTAGGACATGAATGAAAGAAACGGGTACACAATCAAAGATGAGTAAATGGCATACCAAAGCAAAGCCCTCCATCGCTGTGTTGATTATGCCCTTTGGACCTCGAAAATCGACCTCTTGGATCTCCGCGATAGTCATGAACCCCCAAAGTTGCTCCTTTTCCAGATTCATGTCCTGTAGCATGGATATCGAACCACTGTGGAAGTAGGACAACTATGCGAAGCCTCGGTCCTTGTAAGAGACTGCACTAGAGCCTCAATCCCTATAGCCATGCTAGGATGAGCTCTAAAAGACGATGGGATCACACCAGGGGAAGGAGGGGGCATCACCTAGTCCAGCTTCTCAGGAACCGACCAGGCCAACAGACCCTGGCACTGGGCTAACAAGCCCCGACTGAGAAGCACTGGGGGCATCTGACTTTGCCCTCTTAGAGGAAGGAGGGGAAGAGGCCATCCTAGAAGTGTAAATAACCTCCACCATCGCCCTATCAATAGAGGTACCTACAGACTTGGTGTGAGACAGAAAGCTTACAACATGTAACCACATAGAGTCTATTGGAAGGATCAAAAACCTTTCCTCTTTGGCCTATAGGAGACATTGGCACGACCCGATGCGAACATAATCTCTGAAAACTCTTTGAAAGGATAGTCACGCACAATCCGGAGTTTGCTCTCCTGCCCTGCAGATAATGTGGCTGAAAGTACAATGGTACCAATCACGTAGTAAGAACAGTTATGTGGCGACTAAATGTAAAAGCAAAAATGAAATTTTTACCTAGTTTGGTCCTTGGAACGGTGTCCCACCTCGAAGGCACTAGGTCACGGTCTCCGACGGTGGCCTATTCCCCTTCCAACGAAGAAGAACCTAGACTTCTAGCTATGACAATTCGAAGGGAGTCCTGTGATGAACTTGCTCAACCTTGGAACAAAATGACACCACCCTTGATGAGGATAAGGATTATCTAAAAGCACATATGTAGCCAAAAACTTCTCGAAAGGGGGAGGAACATCAGCACCATGAGCCAGCCGCCACAATGAGAAGAATACTAGGATCACTCTCCACCTCTCGGGAGTCAACCTCTTGGGGGCCAGCGATGTGTGTCCCAGAATTCTGTAGATGGCCCCAGGTATTGGAAACCTCAAACCCGCCTCTAAGGCATCCTTGTAAAGAACAATCTCACTCGCAGAATCATAACACACTGGCTCATCCTCCTCCGCCCAACGACACATGACAACATGAGGGATACGGTACAAAGATACTATATGATCGATATCATTATCACAATCGATAGAGCTGAATATGGAAGTTACCTTTGAGTCATCATCTCCAGTGTTCCCCTTACCCTCGCTAGATGCTTTGTGTAGCCTTCTTCATTATGTCCTTCTCAAAGTAGGTACCTTCCCAAGTCAGAGCCAGTATCAAGGTCAGTGTGGAGAAAATACTCGTGACAAAATAGTGTCGCCATGAGTAAGGAACAAATGGGGAAACAAGTTTGTCTTACCTCGGAAAAATGTATCATGCACCTTCCCTAGCAAAACCAAGTACGTTGTTTCGACTTCTCAGAACTAGGCACCCTATGGGCGTTAGGCATCCTACCAATTAGGCTCCGTTTATCGAAGATGTCGCCTGTTGTCATCCCGACCGAAGATCTCACTCGCAAAAAACTGGCGCTGCTCGCCTTGCTCCTAACATCGCCCATGGTAGGCACACTGATGTAGCCCATGGCAGGCACACTGGCGTCACCCATGGCAGACGCACAAGTGTCGCCCATCTAAAACCCATTCACCCCATCGGCGCCGTCCCTGACTCTTACGCAGCCCAACGCCCAATCGGCGTCGTCTCTGCCTTTTGCACAGCTCAACACCTTGTCGGCGTTACCTCTACCTCCAGCGTCGCTGACCTCGGTTCCTGAGCCCTGTCTAGCATCGCCTCCTAGGGTGCTGCCTAGCATCGCTGAGAAGGCTTCGCCAAGGCTTTGCCAAAGCTCGACTCTGGGTCTCTTCTAATCCCCTTAATTCAGTTGCCCTCTTCTTTGTGGAATTGCCATTGAAGCCTCCTCTCGCCTCCAAGCTCCTACTCTCTCAATACCTTTTGGGAAAGAGAGCTTTGAACCCTAGTCTCAAGGGAAAAGCTTCAAGAGGAAAAAGAAAAAGGGGAAATGGAGTGGAAGAGTCTAAGGACTTCTATATATAAGCTGTTTAATGAGATTTTTTCAAAGATTGATGAAAGACCCAGTGAAAGAAATGCAGAACATGTCTAGTGATGATGATTCCTACTAAAGGGAAGATTTCACGGTCTATGAAGATGGAAAAGCCGCTGTGGAGAACAAGAAAACTTTTGCTCGTCTAGGTGAAGAAGACATTCATACCCTCAATCCCTTTCTCTCGCAAGCAATCGGGGGCAGAATGATGAACCAAAATTCAACTAGTTCAGGCCCAATAAATTCAGTAAGCCCAAATCAGCTAAAAGGCAAGTCAAGCCTAGTTTGTCAATTGGCACAACCCAAGGTCCAAGGAGATTAGAGCACGTGGGAAGTAATCATCGGGATACTCACTCTCAAAAATCAAGGCTACCTTTAATTGTACTTACCTTTTGCAGTTATTCTCCCCGAGAAACTAATGTTTTTACCCTTAAGTCACCAGCTCACCTAAGGGCTTCATGCCTATAAATTGTAAGCTCTTTCCATTGAAAGAGGCACCTCTTTGTATCCATCTATACACCCCTTACACAACTATTACTCTCGTAGCTACCACACCTCTCTCTCTCTCTCTCTTACTTTATTTCATTAATAAAAGTTTTTTGGCCATCGTTGCCACTTTTTGGAGTAGAGTAGATCCTCCTGACTGAACCATTATACATCTGAGTGTTGACCCCGTGTTTGCCTTTTATTATTTATTGTTCTATTAATTGTCCATTACACTATGTCACACACTCAACTATTAATTGTATATAAGTCCGTTTTGTGCATCATAAAATTTCATGTCAAATTTGTTGGTCGTTTTTAGAACTATTGGACTCAATTATATTGGTAGTTTTGATATACCTACTCATCAACCCTTCTAGAGCCCATTAGTTGTGAGTATGCCTAAAAAATTTAAACATGATCCAAAAATTCAACCAAAAATTAGATTGGGATTTAATTTTAAGGAGTCGGGTGGCAAAAGAGTGCACATATGTTGGACATGTGAAATAAGATGGGCCGACACGAGGTAGGCAAACAAGATACAAATTTGGTTTAATAAAGTTTATATATGGCATAAACTCGATACGATATGAAGTTAACAATACATCCATACTACAAATAAAAGTACTTTAATATAATTGTTTTTTTAATTTCTGTTTCATCGTTATAAAAGATTGCAAAGACCATTTCACAATTAAATATCTAAATTACTATCATATCCTTATGTATTTAAAAATTTAAAATTATCTAAAACATTTATGTTAATTATATATTCTCTATGTATAAATATTATTTTCTATAATACTCTTTAATTGACTATATTACTCTTAAAAAATATGCATCATTCTATTTTCAATAAAATGTTCAAAAAACCTTCAAAAACTCATAAATATAACATTTTTAATCTCATATGCAAATATAATATTATACCTACATATGTGTATTTTTTTAATCAAAAGTTTAACCATTTCATTGCCAAGATAAAAAATAATTGAATATATAATTTTTTAAAATCAATTTATGTTACATCAGTATAATTCTTCAGTCATAATATATTTTTTAAGTTGTACTAAGATTTTATATAAAAATATATATTGTAGTGCATTTTAAAGTAAAACTTGAACTTTTTAGAATTTTGATATGCTTGAAAATATATATTATAGAGTAGTATATTAAATTTTATCCCAATTGTGTGATTAGTATATTAACAAATAAATTATAATCAAATGAATTTTAAAATTCACTTGATTAGGAATATAAGTGGAATCCTAATCAAATGAATTTTAAAAATATTAATTTCTCAAACATTACTAAAAAATCAATCTCAATACAAAATTCTATAAAAATAGAAATTTAATTATTTTTTTAATAGTTAGAACAAAAGTTTTTGAGAAAATATAAAGTTTTCATAATTTTATAATAGAATCTGAGTAATGAAAAATTAAATTTGATAAATTTAAGATGATATTTAATTCAAATACACATATACTTAATATGTTTTATTAATTTTTATGTACAAAAATTATTTACGTGTAACGCATGTGGTTCATTACTAATAATTATAAATAGATCAAATATGAGTTAAATAAATTTTTACACAACAATAAATATAAAATTTAAAGCGTCTCCTTTTGCGAGATAGTTAATTAATAGATGACATGTAGGGCAAACCTAATCCTGTGAATCACGGGATCTTCTAATATAATTTTTAAAAATTAATTTATGTTATATAAATATAATTTTTCAGTCACAATAAATTTTTTAAGCTGTATTGAGATTTTATGTAAAATTAAAAATAAATTGTGGTGTACTAATAAGTAAAACTTCAATTTTTTAGAATTTTAATATGCTTTATAATATATATTATAGATTAATATATTAAATCTTCTTACAATTGACCAAATTAATTCTTAATTATAGTAAGGTTCCAATATGATTAGTATATTAACATGCAATTACTTTTATTTTATTAAAGGAATTATTAAAAAATCACTCCCAATCACAAAATTTTTTAAAAAATAAAACTTTAATTATTTCATTTTTTTTTATCTCGAAATAGAACAATGAATTTTGGGTATGTACAAAATTTTCATAATCCTATAATATAATATTAGCAATAAAAAATTAAGTTTAATAAATTTGATATGATATTTAATTCAGATAAAAATATACTTAATATGTTTTATCAATTTTTGTGTATGAAAATTATTCACATGTAACAACCGTGGTGTATTGCTAGTTAGTAAGAAAGAGTACAAACACTTTTCTGGAATGTATAAAAGATGCATCATCTTAATTTTATTCTTTTGTCTCTTCCGGGAAGGAATGCTAAAGGAACCTAATTCAATGTAGTGATTGGATTAATTGTGAGTTTTAATATTAGATGATTTTATTGAATTAGGTTCAAAAAGCATTTTTCTACTCCGGGACCAAATTCCTCCGTGTTTATTTATAATTGCCAACTAATTGTGAAGGAAGAATGTGTTGACCGTGTCTTCTTTCTTCTCCAAAAAACGTCACCTCCATATAGCAGAAAGAGAGAGGATCAAAAGAATGGACAAAGATCATTGCATTGCAGAAGCAAAGGAAAATCCCCCTGTTCCATTGGTAGATTCCATGGGAATGATATACTTGACTCACCTTCTTTATCGCCTGGATGTTGTAATTATAGAGTTCCAATACGAATTCGAGAACGAAATCCAAAAGCTTATACACCTCAGATGGTTTCTATCGGCCCTCTACACCATGGAGAAAAGGAGTTGCTAGGCATGGAAGAGTTCAAATTAAGGTGCTGAAAGCATTCCGCGATCATACTCACTTCAGTTTGGATGAGTGTCTAAGCAAGATAAAAGAGCAGGAACAGGGAGTTCGCAATTGTTATGCAGAAAGATTTGATAAGCTTAATAGTGATAGTTTTGTGAAAATGATCCTTTTGGATTGTTGTTTCATCATTGAGGTGCTTTTGTGTATTGGACGTGTTTTTGGAAAAAAATGTTGCTTGACCAACAAAGTGATCTACGGGTGATTTCTCAAGTGGTATCAGTCGCAATATTACTTGAAAATCAGCTTCCATTCTTTATAATAGAGGGTCTATTCAACCCAGCATTCCATTCAAACCCAGATCACCATCTGCCCTCTTTCCGCCAGCTTTCCTTGTTTTGCATCCGTGCCTTCGTTCCGATTGGGGACATTGAACTGGATATATCAAATACTGAAGTGAAGCATTTTGTTGAATTGGTAAGGGTATGGATCTTACGGTCAAGTCCATGAAGGGCATTGGAATGGGAAGAGGATTTTTATTTTTCAGAGATGCCACAAGCAACGGAGAATCAAGAGGCAGGAATGATTATGAGGGCATCATCGTCAAGACATCGGTTACTTGACATAACATATACAAATGGAGTGTTACAAGTCCAAACTATTATCGTGACATATGCAAGGACGCAAATAAATATTGCAATGTGTCACAAACACAAATGGAAGGCAACTCTGAAACGTGATTATTTTAGTACCCCGAAGAACTGCTTCTACTGTTGCTGCAGTTATATTGCTTGTGCTTACCTTTATTCAAACCATCAAGGCTTTTTTCTGACCAAAAAAAAACACCAAGACTTTTTATTTCTCTAACGAGAAGATATACTTGTTAGCAAGTTTCTGTCTAAATATTCTGTACTCATCGTATTTGTACTTTTGAACATTCAATAGGTATCATGGTTTGAAGTTTCAATTGCCTGTTGTCATATGATTTACTTAAATTAATGTCTTTAACTGGGAAGGTGAAGAAAAGGAAGCAATGCCAAGGAAATTAGAGATCTGTTTGCTGGTCAGGTTCGAAGGATTTATGGCCGGAATCCAAATTATTTTACTTTTGATGGAATATGTATGTCGGGTGTATATATATAGTAGCGTGGTAATAGAAACTATGCCCCACAATCTCTAGTGGTAACTTTTTATGTGAATAGTTAGATCGCAATCCACGGGTTACTAACTCGTCACGGAAATTATACACTAAGTCGTCATAGAAACTATGCAATGTATCCTTTGATAAGATCTTTTTATGTGAGCCAATAAATTATGATCTATTGGTCACCACTTAATAACACTTGGAATTAAATGGTAAACTTACCAAATTTGTTTATTGATTAATTGTAATTCTAATCTTATTTGGAAAGTACATTAAAAAATTTTAATTAGTCATTTAAAATTAAGATTTTTTTTTTACTCTTTTCAAATATCGGCAAATAGATCAAACTAGTGATTCAAACTAATTTATTGGAACTCACTACCTATTCAATGATTATGATTGATCAAGTCAGCAT